CCCCAAAACCCCAAAACCCCAAAACCCCAAAACCCCGTACATTAATAAATTTATAGAATACTTATTTTTATCATGATACCAGACACCAAAAGAATTTGGGCATTTCTATGACTCTTAGCCTGATGAGTCCTTCTAGTGAGAAGCCAAGCTAGTGGAGAGGTAAACCCTTTCACAGTGTACACCCAGACATATGGAAGAGATGTAGAGCTAGATCCGTATAGTTTTAATCTACAAACTTTTCTAGCATACCCACATTTATTTGGAGGTACTACGAGGAGGTGTCAAATGCAGCTTAATGAATATAATTATTATTTACTCCAAAGCAGTCAGGATTCTGGAAGAGGTACCCCACTGAGCGCAAAAACTATTAATGCTGTTGACCAACTATCTGATTTTGTCCATCTATCTTCGAATAATGAGAATGAATTTTCAGGTTATGAGAGATGCAGAGATCAAATGAGGCAAAGGTACTATATTGTTCATAGAGAAGATAGGCCTAATATTCTACATTTTGGAATGTGAGTGCCTGATTTATGTACTCCTGATGATATTCATCACATAATTACTGGGCTCAGGCGACTCTTAGCAACATACAGAACTCAAAATGTAAACCTAGGAAGTATCTCTCCAGGTGTCCTTGCTCTTTTGGAGCCAAATTTTAAGCTTAGAGTTTATGACTCAGATGTAATGAATGAGGATGCCAAAGATATCGAGTTTGGACATATTTGTATGTGGTCTTTCTTTGGAATTTTCACACTCCTTGTTATTGCAGCGACAGCCTATCACATTAATATAGAAGTGAGTGGCGATGCTCAATTAAATTATAACTTGGGAGTGCAAGGCCCGAGGAATTTTAAAGAGAGACTGGTTTTAGGATTTTCTTTAGGTAAAGCCTTTGAAAAACTTACTGATACGACTAGCAGATTGGGAGCCAACACTCTCGAACCTCTGAGAGGATATAAATTCTTCTGTGCTCTCTGGATCGCTGCTGGGCTATATTGTTACGGGCCTCAAGGTCCTTTCAAGGATGCTCAGAAGCTCAATGACGAACTCTCAAAGGATTTTATTACAATCCTTGGCAGAGCTACTATTTTTATGGTTGATTGCTTGTTGTGGATCAGCGGGGTCTATACTGCCTACGCTTTTATATATGACCAAGTTATTGTTAGAGATTATCAAACCCAGACACCAAGAGATAAAATAGTTATCTATATTATTGAAGTTCTGAACAAGACAGGAAAGCTATTCTTCTTAGTTTTAGCCTCTATACTCATTTTTGGATGGGTAGGACCAACTATTGGAAATGGTCCTGTGTTCTCTGAGATGTATTATTATCATACAAGGAGAATGAATGATTACTGGTACACATACTTAACATTTACAAACAACTTCATTAAGGTTGAAAATCAAGGGATGGTATGGGGAAGTTTCATTGCAACTGAACTACAACTATTTATTTGTGCTCTTCCTTTAATCCGAATGCTTATCAGAAGAAGAACTGCAGGGTTGGCAATATTGGCATTCTTAATGGTTTGCTCTCTTGTGTGTTCTTGTATAGCCAAAGATGTGCATGTATCTGTGATAAGAGATGCCTATCCAGTCATGGAATACCAGCAAAGGTTCTACCAGAAAGCATTTCCTTATTGTGCTGGAATTCTAACGGGTCTCTTTACTTGGAAGGTACATCATGAGGAGAATGAAGGCACAAAGTTTCAGGAATATGTTGAGAAGATCGAACAGAATAGCACACTGAGGTATATTATGCATTTTTCTGGAACTGCTATGATAATTGCAGTAATTTGAACTCTTCAACCTATCGATCATGATAGATCTCACGATATTACCACTTCTAGTATATTTTTACTCACTGCATCACAGATTTTTATGCCACTTGGGATGGCTTTGAACTTTATTCCAATGGTATTAAACCGATCTGGAGCTCTTAAATCAATAATGGGCAGTCGACTTTTCAAGCCTCATTCCACACTGCTGTTCATAATGATCCCCATTAGCGGAACTTTGGCTTTTTGGGCTATTTATACCCAACAAGAGCCGTACTATTACGATTTCAAGACTTATGTTTACACTATGTTATCTTACTTCCTTTTATTGTCAATCCTAGCCTTGCTTGTTTGGTGATTAGTAATCTCACCCATCTACAACACCTTCGATTGCTCTTTGGATTATTTGAAAAATTACTATAACCTTGGAGGAGATTTCAGAGATAATGATGAGCCTGATGAAAATGACAAGCTTCTCACAATTTCAGAGGATGAGTTGAATGATGACGATAGTCATAAAGATGACGACGACAAAGGTAATCCAGGCCCATCTGCTTCACAATCTTTTAGCCACAGTGTAGATGAGTAATTTAAGAAATCAATTTTGGTTTATTTTTGTGGGGTTTTGGGGTTTTGGGGTTTTGGGGTTTTGGGG